GTGACTATTACCATATGCATAGCAAATCCAGCCGATATTCGTCCAGGAAGCTGCGCCAGCTGCTTCAGACAGCTTCAGAATAAAATTGGACCAGCTCTATCGATTGTTAACTTTGGATTCTCCATAGCTCAAACCATTCGTAAGAAAATCCCAAAAATACTAATTTTTCACTAGGTGATTCTTACCATATGTATAGTAAACTCAGCCGATATTCGTCCAGGAAGCTGCGCCAGGTCCTCCAGACAGTTCCAGAATAGAATTCGACGAGCTCTAACGATTGGTAACCTTGGATACTCGATAATTCTAGCCATTCGTGAGTAAATCCCAAAATACTCAGTTTTTACTAGGTGACTCTTACCGTATGGGTAGTAAATCCAGCCGATATTCGTCCAGGAAGCTGCACCAGCTGCTCCAGACAGCTCCACAATAGAGCTCGACGAGTTCTATCGATTAGTAACCTTGGATTCTCTATAGCTGAAACCATTTGTGAAGAAATCTCAAAATACAAATTTTTTACTGGGTGACTCTTACCATATGGGTAGTAAATTCAGCCGATATTCGTCCAGGAAGTTCCTCCAGCTGCACCAGACAGCTCTAAAACAGAATTCGATGAGCTCTATCGATTGTTAACCTTGGATTTTCAGTATCTCATACCATTCGTGAAGAAATCCGAAAATACTCATTTTTCCATCATGTGGAGCAGCTGAAAACAAATTGAACTTTCTCCGTTAAAAAGAAAAAGTATTCAATTTGCTAATCTCAATTTGTGCTTTTCAGCACTCGATTAAGTCGACAGATGAATTAAAAATAAATATAAAAATAATTTGTGTTGTTAATAAATATAAACAAATTATAATAATGCAGAGTTAAATCTTTGCCGACGCATTTCGTGTTATTTATTTAAATTTTAACACTCATCAGGGCTCTGCATAAAAATTTTTTTATATATATATAAAGGAAAGAAAGGAGGCATAAAATAGCACACAAATAAGATTTTTTGAGAAAGACAAGAAAGAATAAAACAGATTGTGTAGGAAATCATCAAGACACAGATGAAAGAAAATATTAAATATTAAACGTTACGACGATTAGAATTAAAATTGATTATTAAATTATCGAGTTATTGGAAAATGTATTTAGATTTACATGTTATGCACTTATTGATATTGGTATACGACTTTTAATAAATAATCTTCTTGTTTTATCCATTGATATCATAGATAAATTATTTTAATTCGAAATAAACAGTTATTCAATTGTAAAATTATTAACCAAATGGTTACAACCTGAATGTAAATAAGTTATCTAGTAATATATGCTGAGTGTCCAAATGGTCATAATATTGGTAAGGAAAGGAAATACATTGGTGATGTAGATGAAATTGTATCATAAATAATTGATATACCATTAAGTTGTTGAATCCGTTGGTATAAAAGATATTTAATATAATGTATCGCTATTGTCTAAATAGCTAATACCATTTGAAGGACAACAAAAATAAAAAATATTATTTTTAATCAAAGATATCGTAGATAAAAACCAGTAGGACTAATAATTGTACAAAATAATGATAATGTACTACCATCATATGCTGCTTTAGTTAATAATATTTCATAAGTTTCTGTTAATTTCATATCAAGTGCACATAAAGTTCCATTAATTTTATATCAAGTATACATAGATTATTCATTTTGGCTGAATCAAATATAATTGGTCTTGAAAGTAAAAATGGTATGATAAGTTCTGTTAATGTAATAAGCTGAATATCAAGATTTTTTACAATTTTATATGAATTGTTCATATAAAACGTTCCATATATATTGAACATTTATTCGAATAAATTCTAGATAATTTTTAGATAATTTTTAAGATATATTATTTTATAATAAATATATGCAATTGACCCATTCATTGATGAATGTTTTTTCAATAAAAATTATTTTAAATTTGTGATATGTTAAATAAAAAAACATGATATGAATCAGCATGTGGATGCTTTGTTCAAAGAATTAATCTTGTTTCATTTATTATTTTTAATCGAAATAATTATGAATTATTTAATGAATAAAAATAATCACAATCATTATCAAGTTGAACGTCGAGAAAAAACAAAAAAATATATATATTTCAATTTGATTTAATTTATTCATATGGATATTCAACATATATGTCCAATATTTGTTCGAATAAATTCTAAATAATTTTTTAGAATAAACTATTCTTACCCAGGTCCAAGTGGGTACATCGGATCCTGTCGGACGGGTTTTAAATCCGTTGTCATACGGCTAATCGGATTCGGTCGGTAACTGTTTGCCGGATTCCGATAATACTCAGTGTTTTCCGTCGATATCCGCTGATCGGATACATGAATTTCCGACTAGATTCATACATGCGGAACTAGTCAGATCTGATCTCAGCATCTGCTTGTTTTCGATGGGATCCGGGGTAATCCGGTGTGAAGAAATGGCCGGAATTTGTGGTTTCACATGGTACCGGATTTCATGATAAAACCGTTCAGTCACTGGTGTCGGAACTTGTCGGATTATATAAGAACACAGGAATTACATTGATTGGGATTTTTTCGTGTAGGATAGCATAGTTCCGACAAGAATCAACTACTGATGCACACCAGAAATAACCAGAAAACCATGTACGTGATTCAGCATAATGGCTAGCGTTCTGTAAAAGAAATGATATTCGACAATTGGATTGGGAAATCAGTCTGCTACGTTTTATTGAACAAAATCGAACTGAATGAATGATATATTAATATCTGCATTAACGATGATAGCAATTATCAAATGTAAGTGACTACGAATAGCTGCCGTATATCGAGATAATAATTGCTTCAATATTAAACAGCTTAGGTGTGGCAAAAAAGGTAACGTTTAAAATTAGTTAAACTTTTGTGCAGTGACGAAGGGAACAAACCGATTTCTTTATTTCATAACTTCTTATAATTTCCGATGATTTCTATTAATTTCAATTTGTTTTATGTTAGTGGAGATCACTTTGTTCCCCTTTGGCAATCGCACTGTCATCATATAGAAAAAATCAAAAAAAAAACTATTGTATTATCATTGATTATTAGGAGGGTGTGGGGTGTGGGTGTGGGTGTGATAAATCCTACTTTAAATAATTCCATTTGGTTGTAGAATTATGTTTTTCTTCTAAGCGAATCCATTATTTAGAATATATCTAACTAAATGCATTTGCTAATTACTTAATTAGTTTTATATTTCTTTTCTTAAAAAAATTCGAAATCTAGAAATGCGATTGTGACCAGATTTCATTCACCGTTTTGTTTTGCAGATATTCACCTATATAAAGAACCATTTTCTTCGATATTTCCACTACATTTTAAAATCCTTATAAAAAACTACTACATACTAGGCATCATATCAAATGATGTATTGCGTGATTATATGAATCGTCCTAGTATCCATATTACTCCATACTAGGTATAATCTTATTATATATACATCTTGCCCCATACAAGGTATAATCCTAGTACATGTATGTACATATATATAAAATCCCATACCCGAGACAGTGGCAGCTCAAAACGTAGAAATCTTTTGAAACCTTCATAAAATAACTGTATAATCTGAAAGAAATATTCAGAACTCTTGACGAATCCTCTGTCTAATCTAAATCAAATTTTTAAAACTGCTGATGAATTGCTGATAAATCGCGAGACAACCTAAGAAATCTTCATGGACTGCTGCGCAAATTTCGAGGAAATCTTCGAAAACCTGCATCAAATCTTGATGAAATCTGAGGTAAATCTTCATGAAATCCGTAAAATCTGCATGTAATCAGTAGGAACCCTGAGAAATCTTCATGAAATTCGTAGAAATCTTGAAGAAATCTAGAGAAGTCCTCATGAAATCCGAAGACATCTGGAGGAATCCTCATGAAATCCGTAGAAATCTTCGTGAAATCCGTAGAAATCTAGAGGAATCCTCATGAAATCCGTAGAAATTTGGATGAAATCCGAAGAAATCTGGAGAAATCTATAAAATAAATCCGTAGATATCTAGAGAAATCCTCACTGAAATCGGTGGAAATCTTCATGAAATCCGAAGAAATCTTCGTGAAATCCGTAGAAATCTTCATGAAATTCGAAGAAATCTAGAGAAATGCTCATGAAATCTGTAGCAACTTTGATGAAATCCGAAGAAATCTTCATTCAATCCGTAGAAACTTTGATGGAATCCGAAGAAATCTATATCTAATCCGTAAAAATCTTAATGAAATCCGCAGAAATCTGGAGAAATCTTCATGAAATCCTGTAGAAATCTTCATGAAACCTGGAGAAATCTTAATGAAATCCGAAGAAATCTGCAGAAATCTTCAGGAAATCCTGTTGAAATCTTAATGAAACCCACCAAAATCTGAAGAAATCTTTATGCAACGCTGTAGAAATCCTCATGAAATCGTAATAAATCTTATAATATCCTGAGAAATCGCGATGAAATATGGAAAATCCTGGAAAATGTTTACGGAATGGTGTAGAAATCTCGTGCAATCCTGAGGGAATCTGATGAAATCGCAAAGAAATTCACGTTACAGCCGGAGAAATATTTAGGTAATCTTGCTAAATCTGGAGGATTTCCGAGAAATGAGCAAGAAATATTGTGCAATCCTGAGAACTCCTGGGAAATCATGAGAGCATTTTTGTCGGGAAGCTTAGTGAAATCCTGGTGAAAGTGAAGGAAGTTGGACGAAGTCCCGATGAAATTCGACTATATTCGATCGGAACTCTGATTGATCAGGTGGTTCCCTGTCGATGGGTTCTGGCGGTTACGGTAATATCTGATGAGTAGATGCGACAGAAACCGATCGGATAGGTTCCCGACGTAATTCGCGTCGGAAAGCGTTGGTTAGGAGTTCTTCAAAAATCCGTTGGGTTCCGGTCGGTTTTGCAAGGGAATCCTCCCAAACCCGCCACGATCCGATATCGTTTCCGACAGTTTCCTGTAGGATATATAGGTCGGATGGAATCACCTGGGATTACACAATATTATGACAAAATCATAGAATTATGTAAGAAAGTTGATCCTATTATGCCTGATTCATTAAAATTAAAATATTTGATGACTGGTATGAAAGAATCATTAAAAATACATGTTGCATTACGGGACCCAAAAACAACAGATGCATTTTTATTGATTGCTAGAAAAGTTGAAAATACATTAACATTAACAAGTACAAATAATGATGGGCAACAAAATAACGTTAATATCAATGCTGCTACATTTCGAAAACAATCAGTACGACCAAATATTTCACAGAAATCTATTAATAAAACTCGCCATAATACTTTTCAACATTTACAATCACAACCATATCGGAAAAACTATCAGCATAATGTACAAAATTCGAACCAACAAATTCGGAATCATGATCCTGCAAGATATCCACAATATACATCACAATCAAATAATTGTTATAAATGTGGTACTCCTGGACATTATGCTCGGGATTGTACCCGTACCCATTTCGGGTAAAGGAAGTAACGGTCGGTGGTGTTGCTTCCAATACTTTATATGACAATCCATCGACATCCAACACATCTCTTTTATATCTTAACGTTTTTGTAAATAATAAAAAAATGAAGGTGATGCTTGATACTGGTGCAAATCGAACCTTTATTTCAATCAAAGCATTACATCCTTTAACTAGTAAACAATTTGTTAATAAATCATATAAATGTGTAATTTTAGCAGATGGTAATACTTCTCTTTTTATTCTTGGCACATGGGACTTATCTATTATTATGGGAGATATGTTAACTTCTATTCAAGCATTTGTTGTTAAAGAGTTATGTGCTGCTTGTATATTAGGCATGGATTTTATTAATAAATATAAACTAATCATTAACACGGAAGAACAGATGGTATCAATATGTAATAAACATCAACGTACAACATTAAAATTTGATCTCAATCAAGGAGATATTAGTTATCCGACACGTTTAATTAATGATATTCGAATTCCACCAAAACGAACAGTGGTAGTTCCTGTATCTGTTAGAGTATCATCAGCAAAAGTGTTATTTCGTCCATCTTACAAATTACAACAACGATTACCTATATTAATGTTAAATTCTTCATTAACTGTTCATCGTCATACGTCATTTATTTCATTATATAATCCGACAAATTACCTTTGTTCATTACCAAAAGGTATTATATTGGGAACAACTACTATTCCTACATTATCCTTTAAAAGAAATCTAATTATTGATCATCAATTAGTGAATAGGAATATTATAAGTTTCATTCAACACATTGCCGATCATGAACAACAGGATAAAGTTAGAATCATCCTCAATCAATTTGCAAAATTATTTGATACTAGTAAATCTTCAATTGCAACTGGTGTGAAACCGCATGCAATAAAAACTCTCGATCATCCTCCACCAACATCTAAACCATTTTATACTACTCCAAGTAAACAAGAAGAAATGTACAAAATAACACAAGAATTATTACATTTTGGTTTAATTCGTCCATCTTATTCACCTTATGCAGCACCTGCATTACTTGTACCCAAACATGATGGTACTTGACGAATGGTAGTAGATTATAAGAAGTTAAACAATATTACAATTAAAGATAATCATCCATTATCCAATTTGGAACAAGCAATCCAAATATTAGGTAGTGGTTATAAATTTTTCTCGAAACTCGACATGAAAAGTGGGTTTTGGCAAATTCCCATTGAAGAAGAAGATAAACACAAGACTGCATTCATCACTACTGAAGGTCTTTATGAATGGAATGTTTTAGCTCAAGAATTAAAAAATAGCCCGCCATCATTTCAACGAGTAATGGCCGATATATTATCTACATGTCGTCAATTTGCATTAGTTTATATTGATGACATTGTGGTTTTTTCTCGCTCATTTGAAGAACATCTTGAACATATTCAACAATTATTATCAATTTTATTGAAATACAATTTTCAACTTTATCCGGCAAAGTGTAATATTTTCCATCAACACATTGATTATCTATCTCATACGATATCTGAATTTGGTGTTAAACCTAATAATGAAAAAATTCAAGCAATTATTAAACTGAGGGAACCTTCTATATTAGCAGAAGCAAATAAGTTCCTGGGTGCCATTTCATGGTACCGAAAATTTATTCCTCAATTTGCTACAGTTGCAGCACCTATCCATCGAGTAACAAATTTAACCAAATCAAATCGAAGACAATTTGTTTGGGGTGATGCACAAAAACAAGCATTTTTACAATTAAAAGAATTATTAATTAAATCCCCATTATTTCTTGATTTTCCAAATGATAATTATCCACTTATATTGACAACCGATGCATCGAAAGTGGGTATAGGTGGTACAGTACAACAAAATATTGATGGTGAAATAAAAAATTTATATTATCATTCTCAAGTTACATCTCCTACTCAACGACGATATGATCCTATTGAATTAGAAGCATGAACCATATGGTTATGTTTTCAACGTATGCGATCTTACTTGCTTGGTAAATCAATAATAATTTATACTGATCATTATCCTTTATGTAAAATGATCAATTCAACCATCAAGAATCGTAGCGTAGATCGTATATCTATTTTATTACAAGAATATAAAATTGAAAAAATTATTCACATTAAAGGTCAAAATAATTGTTTAGCCGACTATTTATCTCGTCAT